AAAGGAAAGAGAAAGGAAAGAGAGGAAAGAGAGGAAAGAGAGGAAAGAGAGGAAGAAAGAAAGAAAGAAAGAAAGAAAGAAAGAAAGAAAGAAAGAAAGAAAGAAAAAGAAAGAAAGGAAAAGAAATTACCAAGAAATAAATTTAGTATAGATTAAGTGTATAGTATTTATTTATAAAGCCTACAGTAGTACAGCAACGTCCTAGGCCTTCACATTCACTCCACTCGCTGACTCACCCATCACAACTTCCAGTCCTGCAAGCTCCGTTCACGGTAAGTGCCCTGTATAGGTGTACCATTTATCTTTTATACTGTATTTTTACTGTACCTTTTCTATGTTTAGATATATTTATATACACAAATACTTAGCATTGTACAACTGCCTACAGTATTCAGTACAACATGCTGTATAGGTTTGCAGCCTAGGTGTGTAGTAGTAGGCTATACTATCTAGGTTTGCGCAAGCACACTCTAAGGTATTTGTATGACAAAATCACCTAATAACGCATTTCTCAGAATGCATCCCCATCATTAAGCAACACATGACTGTATACTATTTTTTTATGTGTTTATCTCCTCCTGCTAGAAAGAGATGGGACTAATCTCCTTGTTCCCAATACTTGTAAATGTACCTGCGATACAGCAAGAAGACAGTCCTATGTACTAATAAAACTTCAGCTATGCATGTTGAATGGTTCTAGGAGACACCATTCATGGAGGGTGTGCAGGTGGTATGTAGTACTTTATGATATGCAGCTCTAAGTATGAGTTCTGGATGTAAACTGAATCCTGGCCGCACTGCTTATTAATACTTTGTAAATCCTGATATTATTTTATCACTCTGAGACTCAGTTTTATAACATGGGGATAAAAAGAGCATCTACACGATAAGATTATGGGGATTAAATTATGTTTATTGCACAGTGCCCGACACAGTAAGTTTTCAATAAATGGTACTATTATTAATTAATTGAAGTAGAGAAACATATTTGCTTTAAGTTACTTTGTATGCTAGGAGAACCACCCAAGCTTCAGGTTAAGTCATTCTTCTATTCTGTGTTCACATAGTATTAAATAGCTTCATTACTCCCTTACTGTACTTCTGTCTAATTTTTATGATTTGATTTACATAAGTACCTGATAAAAAGGTCAAAAGAACAAACTAGTTCTTGTAACAGAAAAATTACCATTAAGTAAAGATAGATTGCATTAGTCCAGAAACATTCTCCAAATAACCATCTGGTTGGTGGTGCCAAGTTAAATTTTTGTATCTTAAGTCAGACCTTAACTTACCTGTGAAATACAAATTCCTGCTGAGTGGGTATTTTTGCTATTGACTTAATACTAAGTAGAGAAATCATAGACTAAAAATTCTAGACAAATGCAATAATATACAAATACAAATAATATACAAATGTAATAATATACAAGGTTCATGAACTGCAGAACTGTAAGGCTACTTGTGATGACTTATGAAAATAATGAATGAGGTAAGAGATAAAGATGGTTTCAGAATCTAAGCCATAGGCTACAGAACTTACACGGAAAAGCAGTTATTCTCCAAAAGCTTTTATCTCACATACCTTTATCCCCATAATCCCTAGCCGTCAGTTCATATTTTTTAGGCAAGAGAGCAACTCTCAAGCCTTTATGATCAGCTACACTGACAATTTGACCTACAGAGTTTTTAAGGAACACAGACTCATGAATGGTACAGGAAGGACATTTAGAAACGGGTACAGGAAAGCAAAAGTTCACTCTCAAATGCATTATTAGCTGTCACACAAATGCCCTGTTTCAAAGAATCATAAAATAACTGTTATGTGATCATTCTCATATTCCTGATTTTTAAAAACAATAACTAAATTCTAAATATTTATCTGACAGACACCAATTTTCTTTAACTTGGTTATCAGGAAAGAAGGTAAGCTTCGAATATCTTCATCTCATGATTACAAATTCCTCCTTTCCTTTTATAGGATACAAATGACATTTGCATCATTTCCAAATACTCATTTTGAAAATAACTCCTAAATGTGTTTTCTAATGCCACTAACCTTATTATAATAAAATAGTGCTATATTAGTAACTGATGATGCTACAAAAGAAAACACTCTAAATATAAATTTAAGCCAACTTACATCAAAAGGGTTCCAAAAATGTCAATAAAATATATGCTTTTTCCTTGCAAAAACAGCAAG